GGTGTTTCAAGAACACTCAAGACGTTTATGGACATAGGGGCAAAACTAAAAACCAAATTGACTACATACCCATCAAATAACGGATTCAAAAATAAAGTTTTACACTGTAAAACATACACAAGTGCTGACTGCGGGAGTGATTACATGCCTGTGATATGTAACAGAGTGAAACTACGCAAGGCAGCAACTAAATTTTACTCCAATAAACTCCTGAATAATCCGACCATGAAGAAGCTGTATACGGGTAGCATTAAAAGCAGATAAAATGAACTAAATCAGAATGGAAATTCGAAGTGGGACATTTTAAGAGAAACATTAGTATCATCAGCAAGCGAGTTAATCCCTAAGAAAACTATACAAAGAAAGAAGGAATGGATGACATGAAACTCTCGACATAATGAAAAGGAGACATCGAACGATGCCAATATATGGCACAGAATATAGGATACTTCACAAAGAAATTAGAATTTAATGCAGACAGGCAAAAGAAGAATGACTCAACGAAAAGTATGCTGAAATAGAAAGAACGGGTATCACAAGTAAGACAGATATGCATAAAATAATAGGAGAAATAACAGGACAAAAGACATGCTCATTAACGGAATGCATAAAATCAAAAGACGGAACACTGATAATAAAAAAGAAAAAATAGTTCAAAGATGGAACGAATAAATCGGAGACACCTTCAGTGGCGAAAGAAGAAAACCTGAAACAAACAAAAATATAGAAGGGCTAGAAATATTAATGCCCGAAGTGAAATCAACACTAGCCAAATTGAAAAGGAACAAGACAACAGGAGCAAATGGAATTATGATGGAGATGCTTTAGATGATTTCGGCATTGACAAAATTGCAGACATATTAAATGACATATACGACAGTGGTAATATATCGGAAGATCAAATTAAATTCATTTACAGCACACTACCTAAGAAGCAAGGTGAAAAAGAATGCAAACTCCATCGGCCAATCAACCTAATGAGCCACTGTATCCGAATTCCGATGAATAGGCCGCCTAGCAGAATTAGACCGGAAATAGGACAAGAATAGTGCAGTTGCAACAAGGAATGCGATATTTATGCTCGGAATAATAGCAATACAAATACAAAAGTGTGTATACTTATGTTTTATAGATTATGCAAAAACGTTTGATAAAGTACATCACAAATTTCAACTGCTAGGTAAACTTGATATATTTGGGAAGAATATTAAAATAATACAGAATTTATACTGGAAGCAAACCTTCTGCATACGGATAAATAATGGATTCAGTAAATACACAAAATAGAAAGGGTTTAAGACAAAAATGTGTCTTCCCACCGGACTTATTCAACCTTTAGAGTAAGGCGATTCTGAGAGAATTAGAAGTCCCCTACAGTCACAATTTTAACACTATAAGATATGCAGATAATACAGAGTTGATAGTAGACGCGTAAAATAAACGACAGACACTCCTATAGAAAGTAGTAAAGGAAATCGAGAAGAAAGGACTAACCATCAATTGTAAGAAGACAGAATGTATGGTTGTCAACAAAAGGAACCGCCCGCGATGCGAACTACGAATTAAAGACACCCAAAATCAAGCAAGTACAAAAAGTTAAATACATAGGAAAGCAGCGAATAATCTACCTAATCTAAATGGTTGGCAGAGTAGGGTTTAGGGAAGAGAGCAAAAAATTAAAAAAATTAAGAGCTTCAAAGAACAGGAACAACGATCGACTATTAAAGGACATAGCACATAGGAGAAAAATAGCATCCAAAGCAAAAAAAAAAGCCTCATTCATAAGATGAGTAAGGAAATTTGTGGAGTTTATTGAAAGTAATACTTGGGTTAATGCTCCGAAATGATTAAAACCACAACAGAATAATAAATGAGACGATACGTGAACAAAAACTTTAATTGGAATAATAGATAAATTATAAATGGCCCCGAGGTCATCTCATCCTTGTCGGACAATGCGAAGTTCTTAGCCTCAAACTCAACATTAGATGACAAAGGTTAGATTTCCCGCATCTCACAATCTCAGTAATATTTTCATTACAACTCAGGAAGTCTCAAGATTTATCAAATCTCTTGTCTCCAAAACAAAATGCCGGGGGAATATTAAGAATATTAACCCAGTGTTATCTCAAATCCTAGTGAAACTGCTTAACCGCTTTTTGTGCAAGTCTGTGCAAATTGTCAAATGTATGCTCGGTTTTCAAGAATGTGGGTGAGTATATCGGTCTCTTCAGTGTCATCAGCAAACTCTTGGAAGCTGTAATCAGCAACAAGGTTGTTTATCACCTCAATATGTACAAGCTCCTGGGCGACAAGCAGTATGGATTTCGATCTGTCCTGTCCACCGCTGATATCCTAACTGCGATTATTCACAGAATTAGTGACGCATTTGACAACATCTCAAGGACGGTCGCATTAGATATTTCAAAGGGCTCATTTTCTTTACAACCCAGGAAATCTCAAACTTTATCGAAAAGAAGGGTCTAGCTATGGAGTCACTGGAAAAGTCTTTTCATTTATAAAGTCCTTCCTTGAAGGTAATTGCTAATGGCCAGTCCTCCGACTCCCAGGCGGTCAACGTGGGCGTCCCACACGGTTTACTTCTCGGTCCAACCTCTCCCTCCTCTACATAAATGATCTACCTAAGAGTATATTCCAATCATTTGTAAATATCTATGCTGATGATACAACGGTATATGGGTGCATCTTTAAAACCACCAATGACCTGAGCTTGGCAGCTGATCTCTCTAGCAGCTCAGTAGGGAAAAAACTGGCTAGTCACATTCAATGCCTCAAAGACTAAACTAAACACCATAATCGATCGGACCCAGAACTTTCACCAATCGTGATAAACGGGTGTATCCTCGGGTAGGTTCCGTTCCTTGAACACCTAATGGGACTTAAACTCAACCCAGAGCAAATATCTCACTCCTTCTGCTATCCTCTACCTTTACAAGAACCAGGTCAGGCTGAAAATGGAGTACCGCCCAGTTTTCATTTTTCACATAGTCCTAAAGCGTCCTTGCAGGGGACGAATTAGTTTCCACTTTGCAATCCCTTTCTCACAGACGAGCCGTTTCAAGCCTCTCACTGCTCTATCGCTATTTCCATAATGGGTGTTCAGATGAAAGACACCGCTTAGTTCTACCAGTTGGACACATTATACCATGAATCATATCCCCTGGTGAGATGAAAGTTTCACACAAGCAACTTCTTTTCACAAACCGCTACCTCTGGGAACAAATTCCCAAGAGGCTACCTCTCCGATCACTATAACCTTAACCTGTTCAAATGTTAATCGTTATCTTCCATACATATCCGCATAACCTGTACCACTTACTCTGTAACGTACTACCTCGAATGGCCCCAGGGACTTGTACAGGATGAACACCACATAAAAAAAATATGAAAAAACAAAATAATTCAATTTACTTTTTTCCTTATCTTCTTTTCAGTGAAAAAATCGGGATATGAACTTGTACGTCACTTTATTCTTGGTAAACAAATTAATTTCAAAGAGATACTGATTATTCAATTTGTTAAAATCAAATTAAAATGAAATTAATTATATAAACAGAAAAGAATAAGGAAATAGACTGATAGATATTTATAACGGCAATGTTGTATGAGAGATAAGCTAATTTGAGATTAGATTATCTTGCCGACTCTAGAAAATACCAAATAATGGTCCCTTTTGTTTTTTTTTGTATAACTGTCAGGTTAAAGTATTAACAGTAAACAAAGAACATCCCACGTATGATATAAAGCATTTAAAAAAATTATATCTTCTCTGAAGTTCAATTTTGGTTTTAGCTTAGAGATAATCCATAAAAAATAAAAATAATTTCATGTATTTTAGGTTTTTAGACATTTTTAAAACATTGGTATGGTTATATATGATGATTCCTCATTCATCGACTCATCAAACCTCCATTATTGATGAAAAATAAAAACATTTTTTTAAAAACCTCTTTCAAATCCACCGTCTGTACCTAACCGCAGTAAAACAAATAGCGCTTTAAATCAGTGACATGTTCAGTTGATACATATATATGTGGGACTAAAATGTGGTTGCCGATAAAAGATATGAGATTGTCAGTGGTATCATGGAGATTTTACTTAAGGGGAATCTGCTTCCTAATTCCTAATTCCTCATTTTCTTTCATCTGTAAGTGTCAATAAATATAGAAGATAAACTCATATAACTTTTCTAACTATTCTAGTAGAATTGCTACTCGCAATAAGTGAGTGTTTTATTCCTTTACGGTTTTCCCAATTAATATGGTCTATCTTTGAATGTTTTCAACTAGCATCTATCACTTATTTATCGATTAGGCAATACACTCTTTCTGATTCCATTGCACTGGCTTTATACCTGTAGGTTCTATCTACCTGTCTCTCACTCACTCACTCACTCACTCACTCACTCACTCACTCACTCACTCACTCACACGCGCATACATACACTCACACAGTGAAAAAGACACGCATACGTTTAAATTCATTAGATGCATTTTAAGTAGCTACTTCCACTGATGTGCTAGAAAAATAACTTACCATAATGAAAAAATGCTCCAAACTTAATAAAAACAAAGATTTATCTTCACAATATTTGATTATTAAGAGGAAAGACCAAACGATTTTTTCAGTATTAAATGATATTTTTTCATCCTTTTTAGAACGTTTATAATTTTTTTTCTTGCATCAGCGGGGAGTGGGGATAGGGTCAAAGATTAGTATACGAAATATTAGCGTCTTTTTTGCGGTGAAAAACACACTGATTTGGAAATTCTTGCAAAAATCAAATAATTGTTGAATTTTTATGAAACTTATTCACAAATGAATGAAATTATTTTAGAAATGTTTTAGAATCTTGGTAAAATATTTTTACATTTTTTACCCCCTACCTATTTAATTTTAAGAAATTTCAAGAAATTAAATAGGTCCCACCCGTTTACTGTTGAAATAGTTAAATGTAACTGCCACTTCCACTCCAACAGTTTCTTTTCTCGCACTTCCCGACAGTGGAACTCCTTTCCACTTATTTGCTTCCCTGATAACTATAATCTTCAAAAATTTAAATGCAACGTCAACCGCCATCTTCTGTTGACATCATCTTTTCCGTTCATCTTTTATACTTTCTTCAATCACCATATACCCTTTCTTTTCTCTTACTTTCTCTCTCTCTCTCTCTATAACCTCCTGCGTACTAGTGACACACCCGACTTGCTTGGAGTGAATTGCTTAAAAGAAAAAAGATAAAAGAAGAACTTAGAGAATTTAAATCATCATTTTGTTATTTTTTTATTTTATTTATTTATTTTTTGTAAAACAGAAACACCAGTTACCGAAACACTACTCTAAATTGTAAAATAAAAAATGCAATAAAACTAAGACGTTATTTAATTAGAAAAATTTGTAATTGTTTTATGAATAAAATATATTATCGACAGTATTGTCTTATGGAAAAAAAAAGTTTTTCGATGAATAATGAATTTTTACGTGAATTGTTTTCATTTTTTTAAAAATTTTAATTAGAATAATATATAAAGTTTCAACTCTTTTAAATTTCTGCATTACTTTGTCCCCGTTAGGTGATATTAATTAAAAAAATGTATTTACTAACCATAAATGACAAAGCTAAGTACAAATCATCAAACGGCAATATTTTTTAAAAAATTTGGATTTTTTTTTGTATGCGTATAAACATCCCGATTTTTGTAGATACGGACATCCATATCAGAAAATAAAAGCGATTACTATAATAAATTTAAAGCCAAAGTATCTAAAATTCAATAAAACATTAAATTAAAGTGAATATTTCCCTAAAGTTTTTAGATTACTGAGTACTTTAAAATTATATTTAAAAAAAGGCGCTCGCGTTATATTCCTTAATTACTATAGATATAACCACCATAGGACAACATCATTTAAGCTGTCAATACATTAAATAAACAGTTATCACTGTATTTAGAAAATACTTATTTATGCGATATTTTGAACTTAAAGTAATATTTGTTTGAAATTAGATAAATTAAACTTTAAATCAGCTAATATTCCTCAAATAAAGTTTCAGAAAAGTATATTTCATTTTTTGAATATTTTTTTTTAATAAAGATTCTGATATTCTGATTAAAGATTCTGATATTCTGATTAAAGATTCTGATATTCTGATTAAAGATGGCTAAAAATTGCGCTAATCACCTATTTTAGGAAAGACAAAACTTCTAGTCAATTTAGATTAAATTTGGAATATAGTAGATTATTTTGCTTATTGGAAATATAAAAAAAAAGCTTCAAGAAAGATTTTTCATTTTTAAAAATTCATTTTAAACGTTAGGTATCGCATTTTGTGCGGGGGAGGGTATCTAATTTTAAGGATATAGTTATAAAAAGTATTTTTGTTAAAAATAGATATATAATTTTTTAATGAGGTTAATATTATTCTGCAGTTATTATGTTGTGTTAGTTAGCATGCCATGAAAGGCAGTTACTTGACACCCTAACAATAACATGAGTCACTGGTGAAACTGGAACTTCTATTCGTAAAGAAAGAATATGATGAATGGAATTGGCACTTCTGTTCGTAAGTATATTGTTCTTTCAAAGAAATCCAAGAAAATATAATATACTGTAGTTTAGCAAGATAGATTCGTAGGGTCACATATATGACCAGAAGGAAGGTACTTTATTGGTTATTTAATGGAAGGCAAACAGTAAATTGAAAATTCTAAGTCCCTTACGTCGACCTAAAAGCGAAAACTTTAATAACCTATTAATTAGGCGTTCATACGATATTTCCTCGATGTGCTTTCATTTGAGCCTGGAAACCCAAATCAAGGTCGCTGTCTGGTGAACATTTTCATACACTGTCGTCGAAATGAGAGTTGCATGTTCAAGAGGTAGAAAAACAATTTTTTCGGCATTCCTCAACTAACACATTCTTCACGACTGCTACGTTTGACCTCAACTGCTGACAAGTCTAAATTTAACAACTTCCAGAGAACATTGTCATCAACTAATAATATACAAAGTCATCTGCATGGCCGGTGCGGTGCGTACTACGCGGTTGGAATCCCAAAAGGGCTAGTTTCAATAGCGTTTTTTTTTTTTTTTTTTGTTTTGCTTTTTGTACTTTTTACTTTTATTTCTACCTAAATTACATCGTCAATCATCAACTATAATAATCATCGACAGAGTCGATGCTTACTTCCCCGAACTTCTCAAAGGCGTTGGGGGGGGGGATGCACCATACCTACTGAGGATGAGCAGAAGTGCTAATTTCAATAGCGCTTATTTTTTGAAATTGTAATATTCTTTCTGTACAAGAGGGTAAATATTCTTGGTAAAATCATTTTTATTTTGAGATCATTCACTAAGAAGAAGGATCTCTGGATTTTTTTTTTTTTTTTACTAATGATACTAACAAGTCTACGGCTAGTAATTAAAATAAAATTTCTAGTCCCTATTTTTTACGTTTCTAGAAAGATAAAACCAAGAAAATGACCGCTTAAAAAATAAAAATGTTTAAAGATTTCAACACATGAAAATTTTCCCCGAGACCTGAAATACTGTTTTTAAAACACGTTTTTAATACAATCTCGTTTGTATGGTGTTGGAATCTTTGTAAAAAGTTTGTTTTTGTTTTTTTGTTTTTTGTTTTTTCTTCAGCGGCGATGCAACAGCGATTAATCTTTCTTTATGGAAATGTAAAAATTTGCGACTTAAACATCTTTTCCGAGTTAAATTTAATTCTAAAAAAATTGTTGGTTATTACAAAAAGTATAACATTTTCTCAGATTTTTTAAAAACAAAAAATTCTATTCATTACAAAAGTAAATAATAAATATGTACTGTAATTTTCATTTAAATTTGATAATTCTCTAATTTTTGGTAATTAAAAAAAAAAAAAACGTTGAAAACGCAATTTATCTTCGAGAGTTTGTGGTCCCAGGTTGGGAAATTTTGAAATCGACATGTAGTAAAGATGGGAGCCCCATATAAAAGATTCCAAGGTGATCTAGAAACTACTGAATAGAGAGTGAAAATTCAAGCACTTTATTGTAAAAAGGTACAATTATGAAATAAAAATTATTACCATAAATCAGGCACAGAGAAAGTCTGTGGAAAAAATTGAGATAATGTAATGATAAAAAATAAATCAAAATAAAGTAATAATTACAAAGAGATCGAAATTTCACCATATCTAAAAATAGGTGTTCATTCAGAATCGCTCAACCATGAATCCATATTTCGACAAACCAATCAGAAATCATCCCGATCAAGATATCTTAGTCTAGCGAGCGAATCAGAAGGATTAGGATCGGTAACCAATCAAAAGCAGAACGCCATCTTCGAAGCAAATCTCTAGATATGTTTATATAACGAAATGGAAAATCAACTGAAATCAAAATCGATGAATTAATTTTATTTATTTTCCGATGCTGTAACATACCCAGAGTTGAAATACGGCAGATGCGCGACCCACTGGTAACTTTAGAGATCCACACAATCGTCCATTGAATTTAAAACATGGATTCTCTCATCACATTTTTAAGCAGGCGTCTGTTACAATTGAAATCATATCGATTTTCTTTCACACATATTGTTAAAAAAGAGGTTACTGCATTTGAATACATGCATGCATACATACATACATACATACATACATACATACATATATAAATACATATTTTCCCGGATTTACTTCTGAAGTCTTGAACCACCAACTTTCACTCTATCCTGTATATATATATATATATATATATATATATATATATATATATATATTATATATATAAATCATGAATTGAGCTATCGGATTTGTGTAGGAAAAAAGTTTTATTTTTGTCAGTGCCCATATAGTGGATCCTGTCGAAACTCCTAATGGTATACACATTTTTCTACTCAATATTATTTACTTACTGTGTTAAGATACTCATGCAAAGATCATATCTATAAAGGAAATGTTATAGATAAATTGACGTTATTCATATAGGCTCTTATAAAGCTACATATATTTACGGTAATTTATATTCATATACGCATGTAAATAAATATATACATGATGACTATGTGTGTGTGTATTTATGTATGAACTAATATATACAAAAATATATATATATATATATATATATATATATATATATATATATATATATATATATATATATATAGGACCCTGGTACATGCTTTAAAAACATGGCTAACCAAAGAAGAAAAAAAAAAAAAAGAAAATTTAAAGGCCAAATCCACTAATGACAGAACAAACAACCAAGACGTGCAGCAGGCTTGGAAACTCAAAGTAGGTCGTAAGTCTAGTGTTCGTCCGCGAGATGATTTTCAACTCCTTATGAAATATTTTTTAATTGGCCTTGCGTCTGTCATCTTGGGGATGTGTCTCTGCACTAGCAGCGTGTACTTCTTGAACAATCTTACCTTCCTCCTGGGGAGGTCAAATGTTCACAGTGTAGGGCAACAGGAAGTTACCCATAAATTGAAAATGGAGCCTGCTTCGAGAGTCGTACAAAACCAAATGCAATCGGCACAATCAGAAAAGGCGTATGTTGCTAAAGACGAAGTATGTACTTACACTAACGAGGAAATTTCTGTTGATAAAAATAAACTTAAAAGATTTGAGAAAATGTCTGGATCTGATTCGATTGTCATAGTGGCGGTTAAAAATGCAAATGATTATTGGAAACGTAAAAAATACAATATTAATACCAAAGAGAAAAAAACTACAAAATGCCATATGAATTTAAAAAGCGAATCCTCTTTCATTTGGGCAAGTGAAACACCAAAAGTAAATCTACAAACTAAAAATATGGAAAATATAAAAAGAAAACCAAACAGAGCAATAAGCAATGATCGGAAACGCCAAATAATAAACGGGATAAACAAACTAATGGTAAAAGAACCAAGAAAGAAAATCCATCATCAATCAAAAAAAAAATTAACAAAAAAATGCGATAAAATTTCAGATGACACTACTAATAAAATCGAAACCAAGGCAAATGTTCAAAAGAGCAGAAGTAAAAAATCACAGGAGAAGCGTTACCCAACGTCATCTTCTGACAAAAAATTGTTCCGTAAAGTATCACTTGTATCAAAGACAACAATTTCGAAAATGAACTTACACTCCAAAAGACTAAAGAAAAAGAGCAAGAAACAAAACAAAAATAATCTGTCACAAGAAAAAAATATTAAGCGAAAAAAAGATGAAAAAAAAATTCAAAAAATGAAGGGTAGAAATGAGTCAAACTCACAAAAAGAATATTTCCCGTCTAAAATTAGAAACTTTAAAAGAACCATTCAAAAAATGTTTGTTCCAACGAAAATCTTTTCAAATCAGAGAGGAATACCACCAATTAAATTAATATCACAAAATCACAACAACAGTAATATCAAGTAAGTTTTTAGAATTCTTTTTATTTACAGTCCTCGTATAAATCGTAAAACTTGCAATAACAGTACAGATTAGTTATGTATTTAGTTAGAATTATATCGAAGTTTTAAAAGTAGACAAATTTTTCATTAAATATTAACAAATCTATGTTCAATACATTCAATATAAATATTAGCATAATTTTAAGCCAAAACAACTTCTTTGCTTTTGTACGAGTGACTGCTGAAAAATTCTAGATCCGATTCCAAAGAATTTTGATATTTTGCCATTTGATTAGATTTTCGGAAGTGAGTCGTGCCGAAAATACCATGGTAGAATTAGCTAAGTACAAGGCACATCAAGAAAACTTAAGTGTGAGATAAAGTTTATGGTTATCGTAGCTGTTAGTGTATATTCACTCTCAGACAATTGTACAGCCTTTAATCCATCCATTTGCATTTATTTATTTGGATGAATATGAGAACAAAGCGAAATTACTGCTTGTCTGGTTGAATTGGATTTCTCTGTATCCTTGGAAACGTGAATTATGATTTTTGCTGTGTCTTTAAAACCCAGTAATTTTAAAAGTTACTCCAAAATTCGCCTGAGGATGAAATGGAACTAATGTCTTTAATTTAATTACAAAATAAAATTCGAAGCTTTCAGCTTCCATTTTTGAAACATGGTTAGAACTGTGTAGCGAAAAAAAATATTTTAAATCAATTATATATATATATATATATATATATATATATATATATATATGTGTGTGTGTGTGTGTGTGTGTGTGTGTGTGTGTGTGTGTGAGAGAGAGAGAGAGAGAGAGAGAGAGAGAGAGAGACGCAGTTGGAAAGAAAGCTAAAAATAACAAAACAATGTCCTTATTTCCTCTTGTTTTGTTATGACAAACAAACAAAGCATGTGATGGTATTTATATATATATATTTTTAATTTCATTTAACGTTATAAGTGTCTTTAATAATGAGTTGATGGTATTTTTGTTAGAAAAACCTTATTCTAACGTTTCATCAACTTGTGTGTTGTGTTGTATTTGCTTTTCCCTGTTTGCCGACAAACAAATATGGCAACAACAATTGCTATATTAACTGAGCGAGAATTCAAGGCAATAAATGCGAGTAATAAACAGATGCTGATTGAGTGAGAAGGAAATGACTGGCGGAGAGAGAGAGAGAAAAATTAGGCCAATGATTGAAGAGGAAATCAGAAGGTAACAAAATTAAAATAAGCAGTAACGAAATGTGAGACAAACAAAAACTGCAATGCAAACAACTAAAGAACAGAGTGAGAGTCAGAGTACAAGTGCAATTAAGAAAATATAATTTTTGTCGGAGTCAGTGGGGAAAAGAAGTATTGATTACCTCCTGAATTTAGACCAGCAAGTCCCATGTATCGTTTAAGTGACAAATATACCAATCTACTAGAGTCAAACAAAATTAACACGCCCATTACAAATATATTCATGATTAGAAACAAAAAAAAACTTCTATACTTACTTTCAATCTTGACATTGTAAATTAAAATATATACGAATAGTGAAATAAATCAAACATAAAGAAGATATAACACGGTTTTAATGGCTGCGTGCCAAGGTTTAAGTCTGATATCGTTATAAACAAAGTACTTTGAACTAATATGTCATATTCTCCTACATGACAAAGAGCCCTGAAACGACAGAGATGTGGTTCTCTCTCTCACACACTTATTCACTCACTCACACACACTCCACTAATTTCTATTTTAAAATATTATTTCCTTATTTTCTTAATTGTGTAAATTAAATAAAATAGAAAGACCATTTAAATCCACGCCGGAAAGACGTGTATTCCTCTGCATATGTTTATTAAACATTGTTTAAGTGTCCTTTTTGTGTGCTGTCACTGTCAAATAAAAGGAAGTTCCTTCAAACCAAAACAGGACTGTGCTCATTCACTTCATTACAAACTGAACCCATTTTTCTTGTTCTTGTTCTTCTTATTATTATTATTGTCTATCATTTCTTGTTTTACTTCTTATAAACAAATATACTTGAAAATATCATTACGTTATCATTACGTTATAAATATTGCGTTCATTTAACAGAGATTTCATCATAATAGTAAATACAATATAAGGGTGTTTTCAATTTTTTTTGTAAGATTATAGATTAGCAATTCATAAGTTTTCGTTACATACAATCACTGATTTGCTAAGAAATTAGCATACCATGCCTCAAACTTAATAAAAATAAGTAAAGTTTTTTGATCATTAAATTATACTTTTTACTTCATACTTTTTAGAACGTTCGAAATTTTGGTTATATATCTTGTTTTTGTTTTTTTTTTGCGTCAACCTGGTAGCCAAATCTTAGTATAAGAAATTTTAACGTCTTTTTTTTTGCGTTACAAAAAGCATTGATTTGGAAATTCTTGCAAAAATCAAATAATTGTTGGATTGTAATGAAACTTTCAGGACTTATTTAAAAATGAATGAAATTATTTTATGATTTTTTTTCCTTAAGAAAATCTAGTTAAAATGTTTATATGTTATTTAATTTTATGGAATTTCGAGAAATTAAATTTTCTCCTAATATATTAGTTAAAAGCAGAACTTCTTGGAGAAATTTTTATTTTTATTTTTTTATTTTCATTTTTTTTTTTTTGTAAGATAGAAACATCAGTTACTGAAAATCTGCTCTGAATCGAAAATAAAAATGCAATTAAAACTAAGACATAGTATAATTAGAAAATCTTTTATGAATAAAATATATTATGGCCATGTTTTGTCTTGTTTTATTTATGCAAGAGCCTTAGTGCGATTATAATTTTCATTTAAGCCTTTTTATAAACATTTGTTATTTCAGCCTGACACACAAATGTCGATAAGTGCTATGCAAATATAAATATTACTTGCAACGTGAAAACATTATTTCCTAAGAAATATATGCGTATGCATGTAGAGTGGCGTGGGGCTCCGGGGTTAAAATGAACAGTGGATTTACCTTATGAACGTTCAAGTTGTTTCAATAATGTAAAAGATAAAAATAAGTTTTGTACCTCATTTCTAAATTAAAAATATATTTCCATTTCAATTCTTTCACTACTGAATGTTTTATTCCGAACTAATATTCCTCAATATTTTCATGTTTATTTCTTGTAAATTTCTAATAAAGTGATTCATTTTTTAGAAAGTTTTACTTCTTAAAGTTTTACTTTTTATATATTTCATTAGATGATGCTTATAAATTCCAAAATGATACAATAATAAACAGAAACTTATTAAGCAACTGCAAAATGTCGTTTTAACCAAGTCATTTCAATTTATTTAGCATTTCTGTTTATTTAACATCGTTTTACGCAAAAATGGTTTGGAAAAAATTCCTACATTGCCTAAGGTTTCTATTAGCAGAGATATTTTATCCAATATGTAAATCCCTAATATCGGGAAAATACGATTTATTACAAAAGTTCCCAAAGAACAGCATGACAAATATGCTACCTTGGTTGATGCACACTTTTATTCAATCATTAACGTTCAGTAACGCTTTAAAAATGAATATATATTTACTTTTAAAAATGAATATTATCTAGCAAGATACAAATCTAAAACTGCGGCTATTGATACTGTTTAAAAAAATATACAAATGAATCCCGATTTATTTTGCAAACATAAGGTCCCTAGTCTTCTATTATCACTTTATTGCGTAAGAAATGTTTTTAATTTTTTTTTTTTTTTTTTGCAGCGTCTTCATATTTGAAGAATTCCTTTCTGACAATGAATGTGACAATCTGCGTAGAGTACACGATATGCATGTACACCTGATGACCAAAGAAGACCCTATACTTTGTTTTGATAGTGTTAAAACGTTGCAGTTGCATTTGAAGAGTGCTGGGAAAGATTATATAGAAGTGTCACCGTTGGACTTTACAACAGGTAAACGTTCATAGTAATACGTCCCGAAAGCTGCTACTGACATTTTGTCTTGTTTTCTTTCTGCAAGAGCCTTAGTGCGATTATAATTTTCATTTAAGCCTTTTTATAAACATTTGTTATTTCAGCCTGACACACAAATTTCTATAAGTGCTATGCAAATATAAATATTACTTGCAACGTGAAAACATTATTTCCTAGGAAATATATGCGTGTGCATATAAAGTAGCGTGGAGCTCCGGGGTTAAAATGAACAGTTAAAATGAACCCACGCCAATAAAATTAATGAAGGGTAATAACAATGCGGAAACATACGGGTAATGTTAACAAATCAAGATGAGAAATTTATTTACAATTTACACGCTTGAAGTAGTGCCAGTAGCTGTTCCCAGGAAAATAAATAAGAAATTTTAAAATCCGCAGTTTGAACAAATTACGTTGAAGAAGAAAATGTTAATACAACGGATCTCAAAAGAACTAACTAGACTCAATGTGGACATCGTAGCTCAGAGTGAAACACTGCTTTCAGAGGAAGGAAAAATCGGAGAAAATCGTTTTGTTATAGGAAATTCAATATTACTCTGGTAAAGAATTTCGTTCATCGAACCTGATTGTTTTTTTTCTTCTAATAAATTGGAACAAGAATTAGATTCTACAAGGAAATATTTTGTGAAAATGGCTACCATTTAGATTCTGTGCAGTCGAACATTAATGCTAAGATAGATAAAATGTTGCAGTTTGGAAAATGTCCTGTTTATGATTGCCATAGATTGGTGAAACTATTGCGAGGTTTGATAAACAAATCTCTACTAGTGTTTCAACGTGTTATTTTTCGGCTATTCTAAGAATCCCTATACGTGTAGCTGACTACAAAGGCATTACCACTCAGCTTCTTCAAAAGAGAATTGTTCAGCATATTCTGGCGTCTATCAGAAAATGTCAAGAACATAATTTGCATAAGTCTACCGTTACATCCGGGTCTAAAATCGTAGAGCAGTCACGACAGACTTTTCTGTATAAGCAGAAGTAATGGTTACTAGACTCAGTTGGTATTTTCGGTAAAATATTCTGTTTTTGTGTATTACTTATAAAGAGTATTTTTTTCCATGTTCCTTTTTAGTTAGGTTGTGTTAAAAAATATTATTTCCACGATCGAGTGAGGAGCGATAACCGGTTAACTACTAATTTTCCGCCTATTCTATTTTTTCCAATTATGCCTACCCTAAATGTAAGTATTAATTTTTGTATCTCCAATAAGATTTTCAAATTAGGTAAATTAATTTAAAATTTAGAAGTGTTCTTTTTTATTTACAGATACAAAATGTGTGAACCAAACATTTTCTTCTCTGTTGAAAAAATGGCTGAAAGCAAATTGGAGTTATAGTACAGCATTTTATCCTGGTGAGAATTACTTCTCAAAAATGTACGAGCAAAGAGTAAAACAAGCCATGGGTCTTCATCCCGAGAATGGTGGAAAGTTTCAAATTATTTCCTATCCAAAAGGAATCGGTATGTGTATGCATTATTGCGTTCCCCAAAAGTATGTACCAACATATTAACGGTTGTTTTCTATAGATATGCAATCATCTGTATGTGGTTACTAATTTGCAAGTTTGCTTTTCCAGTAAGCAGAAACGTTGCGAGATGTAAACCGAGATTAAATTGTAATTGGGCAAGAACAGGAGTGGAGAACCTTTTTGTGCATGAAGACTACACTGAAATTCATCTTCACTCATAGAGGCCGCATTCATCAAGTGATTTTTTACAGTTATACATTTTATATCTTAGGTAAATAGAATTTAATAAATATATATTCTAATAAAACAGACATCATAAAACTGAAAAACAAGACATGTTCAAATTCAGATTATGCACCTTTTAGACAAATTAATGACTTCCTAGACATTGCTTCTTTTGAGTTAGCATCTAACATGGCCATAACATGGTGGTTTTTAGTTTTAATTGGTCTTCCAAAAGATCCTATTTCAACTGTGTTCTCAACTAATTTTGATTTGTGTCAAGTACGAGGATGTGAATTCACAATGTTGAAGAAAAACATGAAATACGTTGGCGTTGATGCGTAAATATTCTACCACTCTCTTCCAAATTTCAATGGGATCTTTCTTGCTGTCAGAGTTTTCAGGATATTATCTTCAAGCAACCCAGTAAACTTCATTTGTAACTTCTCGGGGGGCTCTGATACGTTAACTAAGTGAAGCTGAAAAGCAAGATTCAGGGTGACATTATGTTTTTCAAAATCACTGAATCTTTTGCTGTATTCTTCTATTAATGAGTCTAAAACTGACTGAAAAGATTCAGATATTCTTTTCACTTTCTCTCATTATTTTCGATAAGTAAGAAAAGTGTTCTTCTGAAAGTTTTGACTGAGGACTTGAGAAATAATAACTTAATTTTTTGACACATTTATATTGGTTTATTTCTGTCTTGTAACGAAATATTTAACTCATGTTGCTTTGTCATTACACCACACACAAATGCAGCATTTCTGTTCAATTTTGTATCTGAGAATTTACATAACTTATTGTTTTCTTTTTAATTATTCTCGTAAAGACAAAATCTTGACCAATACGTGTCCTTGCGATAACCAGCGTGATAAGGCAAATCTACACTAATTACCTCGTCATCTATCATCAACATGTTTCGAAACTGACAATGCCTCATGGCATTTGCTCATATATAGTTCACCATTTAAAATAGCAGATTTTGCACAGAGATGTTGCTGGTGCAGAATGCAACGAAAAGAAATCAGCTCATTTGGAGCTGTGGTTTCTCTTTTTAGATGTGCAATGAATCCTTCATTTTTAGCCATCATATCTGGAGAGCCATAAAGTAGTAAAGTAGTAATATAAAGTAAAGTAGCTATATCAAAGAGCAAATAAACTAGCAAAAAATAAAAACGATTTGGCATTCCTCTCTCATCAAGGAGGAGAAATGTGCACAGTGAGTGAAATCAACAACACCAGAGACACAATGTTATAAAATAAATCTATACTCATCTAACTCGACTTAAGTCTAAAAGCCAATACTTTTGCTAACGGGTTGTTGGTTCCAATCTTATACCTCTTTTTGATTTTATCTTTTGTCTGTGGTGGGAATAAAAATTAATTCGGTCGTTTTTGTTAGTGGGCTTGCGATAAAGTCTAAAATCTAATTTCTTATTGTTAAGATGTCGAGGAAATTTATACGTGAATTCGATTGTAGGCTTTACGTTAAGTTTCTTTATTATGTCTACTAGATATTTATTGTGAGGATATATTAAAAGATCGTTATCTATGTATCATAGATAAGTGGATGGAGGTTGTAGGTATGATGTATTTAAATAGATCTGACTCTAAATATTCTAAGAAAATACAAGCAAGGACACCACTGATAGGTGATCCCATAGGTAAGCTGAATTTTTACTTATAGGATTTTATAAGAAACCGTGATTAGTAATTAGTTTGCATTGTTGTATAATTTTATGGACAGGTAGGGGAAGTTTTCCTTTGGATTGTTTGAGGTGGTTTCTTAATATGTTGAGCATTTGGTAACGGATATATTTGTATATAATGATTTTTATCTAAGCTAGCCATAATCTTGTTTTTCATGTTCATGTTTCGTATTCTCTGGATTAAGTCACAAGAGTGTTTAATACGTGTTGGATTGATGGTGCCTAAGAATGGAGTTAGAATTTTTTTAATTGCTTTAGCAACATAAAAATTCAAATACTGGTCATCATGCAAAAAGACGATGGTTTACTTAGGAGTCGTGTAAGAGGAGAGATTGAGATGAGATATTTTGAACTAGTGATAGTGGAAGAAGGGAAAAATGAAAAGGGTTGGGTTATTTCTTTTGGCCGAATGTTTGGTAACGTGTACAAAGTTGCAATGGAGGAGAGAACAGAGAATTTTTCTTATATTGTTTTCTTAATTAATTTTATTTTGTTTATTCTGTACTTGATTTCATTCATGTAATGTGTAAATGCTTATTTTGCTTTGTAATCATTTTTTCTGTCTGACCGAAATTTGGAATTAATGTACAAGAAATATGGCGAGATCTGCTTACAAGTCTAAATTTCGGTCAAACAGTTTAGGCTAGAAAAATGATCTTCACGAACAAAAAGTTCAAATAATGTTAATTCTCTGCTCGATCTTCGATATTATACTAAGTTATTTGATAGTAAATACTGCAAGTCCCTAACTGTACCCTAACACATATATTTGGAGCTAATCCTACTCTTAACGCAACCTATATTACTCCGAGCCCACACCCGGAACCCCACCGCCATCTCATTATTCTAAATTAATATTATTCTATTTTCCCTTCCATTTTTCAAATGCCTGTTTCCTTATATGCAACGTCTTCCTAGATTCCGTGATTTTATTTAATATTAATTTATTTTTTCCTGATTGGGATTGGGCTTCCAGTTCCTTCTAAAGTCTACTTCAACTCTATACTTCTAACGTCTCCACCTGAAATTTTATTCACTAGCCATTTTCCCCTCTCCCAATAGGAGTAGATAGTTTCGGCTATCGTCCGGTTCGCTTTCCTTCAGGGTCTTTTGAAAAGCAGTAAAAGCTTAACCATTGTTTCTTATTTAGGATTGGGTTTCCGTTTCCTTCTAAATATATATAATAACGTTTGAACTCTCTCTCTTTCCTCCTCCTCCTTCTCCCTCTCTCTCTCTCTTTATATATATATATATATATATATATATATATATATATATATATATATATATATATCGTTTTATTCTTCAGGTTACAAGAAGCATACGGACTGTATTGAAAACAGCTCCGACAAGAGAGATCGAATGGCGACCGTGATAGTTTATTTGGACACAGTGGAAAAAGGCGGGGAAACGAGATTCCCAGGTAAATGAAACTTATTGAACTTAATATTTCTGTTATTAACATATTAACATAACTATTGAAATCAGAGTGACATGATGAAAGAAGCAAAATGTCTTCATTTGAAATAATATGCTTATATATCAGGATGTAGTCTCTTTATATCTCTTGTCAATTTGTTTATTTCTAAAATTAGCTGTTCTAATTATATTTTTTTTAAAATGCTTTAGCAACATATAACACTAACACAGGCATATTAGTTTTAAATTATTTATCTATCAAGTAAAATCCCATTTGTTCTCTCTCTCTCTCTCATACACACCCACACCCACACACACACACACACACATATATATATATATATATATATATATATATATATATATATATATATATATATATATATATATATGTGAACATTGAAGTCAACACTTAGAGGCGAAAGGTTGTTTCATGCTAGACGCAATCGTCAGGCCACGAGTGTTGTTTTTTTTTTCTAGGCTATTTATATATACGGATCAGTGGTGCATTGTGGGTGGTCTATTTGGCGGATATTTTGCCGAAAGTCGTTTATTTGTTTGTTTATTTATTGATTTGGGTTTATTTATTTTTTTTTATTTCTTACCTTATATAATTATTTATTTATTTTTATTTTAATCGGTGTTTTATTAATGTAGTAAAAATTTGAGATGAGATATTTTGAACTAGTGATAATGGAAGAAGGGAAATAATGAAAAGGGTTGGGTGATTTCTTATTTCTTTTGGCCGAATGTTTGTTGACGTGTACTGTCGCCTCTAAGTGTTGACTTCAATGTTCACTTTTATATTTACACACGCTCTATCTCTGATATTTATGGGATAAAGATCCATAAATAAATATATATATATATATTAAGATATATATATATATATATATATATATATATATATATACACGTGTTAATTCATAAAAAGTTTAAGTTAGATACAAATAAATGGAGTTAAATATGTGCCCGCTTTCTACGTCAATTCTTTATGAATAGTTGATTTTACAATTAATATATTCGATACTGAATTATTTGGAAAGCTTTTTAGGGTTTAGGGTTACCCGGATTAAAAGTGAAAAATTGAAATCCTAGTGTCATGCCCACAAATAAAACATAATGCGAAAAAAATGATTTTCTTACATAGGAAAAAAAGGAAAACCAGATTGAAATAATCATATATTTATGTACATAGTAACATTTGTTTTTTACATGGTAAAACATTGTTTGTTCTGGTCATAAAAAAAAACAAATTTCAAATGTTCAACAAAATTTTCCATTTGTTAAAGGGTAGTTCGTAAAGTCATATGCCTTGGTCAGTATAAAATTTGTATATGTTTGTGTGTCTGAAGCACATTTTAACGGTGTGCTTCCTACTGAATATGTATGTGATTAGGGGTTTGACGCACATTAGTAGAAACGTGTGCGTGACTGGTAATACGTGAAATCTGATTACGGTAGTCCCAAAAGGAAATGGACATAGAGATATATAATCAGACTTACTTTTTCAACGGCTATGAATATTTCTTTAAGTTGTGCGAATATTCCTTTGAATGGTGTGTAGTCGTCGCTGAGATATTGTCATGGTAATGAGAGAATTCTGGTCGGTTGTTTACAGATTCGACCGCTTGTTATCGACGGGTGATCACACGTCTAATTGCTGACTGGGGTTTTGTTGTGTGTATTTTTATTGTCTCCGAGATCGCTGTATGTAGAGCTATCACATGATTGCCTCCAAACGAAAGCGACCAGTTCATTTGGAGTTCAAACGTACGGACGTATTCGTAAACATAGCACGTGACTGTACTCTCCAATCAACCTCCAGAAACCACTTATTTAATTTGATCCTATTTTTTTATTGATTTGTACAAAAGCTTTTATTCTAGTGATTCCGATCCTATTTATGTGTCGGCGTTTCTTATTATTTGTGTTTCACTTATAGCTTACATGGCAAATATACAAATAATTCATATCTTGGGAACTTGAGATAAAAATGGAGATAAAAAATGAGTTGAAGACACCAAAATAAGACTGGGGCGACAAGGATATGTTTATTCATTGGGTTTATTTGTACAGCGGGATGTTTTCAATGGGATTAAAAAACTACGATAATTTATTATTGGCATCGTGATACTGTGCTGGCGGCAGACTCAGAAAACTGAAAGAACAATTACACAAGGAATTCTACGAATACAATAATCATTAACTGTAAGAAGACAGAATACATTACAGTCAGCAAAATAGACAACCCATTGTGTGACGTCAAAATCAAACAAATGCAGAAATTTAACTGCATTTGTTAGTAACAGACAATGGCATATAGAATAGATACATTTAAGAAACTGGACAAAGGTATTAATGGATCTAGAAATATCTTTCTACTTTATAAACATGGATCCCTTCAACTTCTTGTTTTTTACTACATTGTTTTCGTTCTTTATCATCGCTCTTAGTCTTTGTTCTGCCATCCATTTATTAAACATCATTTAATAAGTTACTCGCTTCCCCTGTCTATGCACATGTGAGTACTAAATTCTGTACACCTTCTTTCCTTATGTGTCCCAGAAATTTCAACTGTCTCTGATTGAAAATATTTTCCTTTTAACGTTTATTTTCCTTTAAGCTTCCTAGTTACTTGTATGGGTCATGGAAATTTTAGTATCAATTGATAGAACCATATCTCTGTCGCTTCAACTCTCTTCTTTATCTGTAAAGAGATTGTCCATCATTCACTGCCAGGTTCAAAATTAGATATTACACAGATATTACACAGCAGTTCAGCACACATTTCTTTCTTTTTAACGATATTTTCCCATCCTATATTTTGCTTACTTTCTAGAAGTCACTTTCGCTATTTTCATACACCTTCAGATTTTTGTCTTACATTTTCCGTCGTCTATTGCTACAATACCGACATAATTTCTCGATCTGATTGATGTTGACGTCCCTAATACGTAATACACATCTTAGTGTATATATTTTGCTAACATTATCTTGCTAGCATTATCTTTTTCAAATTAATAGTTCATTTTTCTTGCTTTTCCTTTATTGCCTTGTCGAGACGAAAGAAAGAAATAATGATATAATGACACATTCTATATGGCAATGAATGCTGGACAATTTCCTCAGGAAATGTGGACTGAAAGCGGGAGAGATTTATTTACTGACGAATATTGAGAATGCCATTGACAGAAAATGTGAAAACGTGGAGGAAGATTGGTTTGGTTTGGTTTGGTTTGTTTTACGGCATGGGTCATTTAATGCCGACAACTTTTTTTCCTGGTAATATTTTTGTTTTGTCAAAAATCTATTTCTGTTAATATTTTTTCCTCAAAAACGTATAGCTGGTAATATTATTTTTTCAAAAACGTATTATCAGAGGCGTTGATGTTGAACGCAGTTTATCGTCTTACCCAGGACACGAATGTAGTTTATCGTCATACCCAGGACGCGTGGAGGAAGAATAAAAACTACAAATAAATTGTTGTTTATAAGCACCATATTTATACACCTTAAATTTTGGAAACATAATGAGAAAAGAAGAGAATTTAATATTACTTACATTATTCGGACTGTTATCTTCATTGTCATATTCACAACGTTTCGGCCGTTGTACGCTCCAGCCTTCTTCAGGTGATTGAAACCGAACCCTTTATTTCGTCCACTGGGGTAGATTGTTCTAATTCCACGTGCCATGTCTCTTCCGGATGTCTCAGTTATTTCCCTTTAACTCAACTCTCCAAGTTTTGGTTCACCACTGCTGTTTGGGTCTAGTCACTGAATCTGACCAACGCCTTTATCTACTGGGCCATGTGTCCTTGTATTAATTCTTTGGACTTATAAAGCTAATGTCTCAACGCCACTTTTGTACCAATTTTTCTGTTATTGCATTTTTTATCAGAGCTTATATTGCAGGTTTGTTGTTGTTATTCATTGCTTTTCTCTAGAACTCCTTATTACTAGTTTCCATATTGTATTCATTTCTATGCTTGACCAGCTTAGGAGACTTTCGTGGCCTAGCATATGTGCTGATTCCTTAAGTTTTCATATTTTCTGTTGTGGCGTCCTCCCTCTAATGAGGTTATAGTGGACGCTTCCACTCGCTATAAAGTTACTAGGAGAAGTAGGCCCCAGGGGGAACAGTGATAGACTGAACGCTGGTCGACCAATACACACTCCCAAGTCGTGGAACACTATTCTGTTGTATTTACTGTTCAATACACTATTTATCTGCAAGCTCTTATTTTGTTATTCTTCACTATTTACTTGGTCACAACATCTTGGCAACGAGGATTCGAAGAAACGGACTTCACGTTTAAAGCACAAAAAATTTATTGCACAACATCTTGGCAACGAAGGACTCGAAGAAACGGATTTCGTGTTAAATCATAAAGTTTTTTTTGTGCTAGTGTTTACAACGCTGGTGGTGAAAGGAATTCTACACAAAACTCTACGGTAAAAGGAGATCCAGTGTTAATTACAACAATTGTCAGTGAACAAAAAACTCTTCAAAAGAAGAAGATTTCTATAAGTTCAACTCAGTGTTTTGGAACAAGGTTGGTGAGCCTTGTTATTTTTCAATTCCAACAAGACAGTAAATGAACTGTATAAGTCAAACAGACTTACTGTTTTCACTAAGAGGGTAAAGAGAAAAAAATTCCCCCTCTCATTTTTTGAATTTACGCAGTAAAATGGACGATTTTTGATATGTCCCGGAAAGGGATATATTTGTTCGAAATAGCAAAGTGGTTGTTAACTATTGTAACCGGGTAGGACAATCTAGCAGGTAACCATAATGGACTGGTCCTCGTCGTAGTGGTAGGCAATAGGCGTAGGCAATAGTGAAGACAATAGGCGTAATCCATGTACCTCCACATCAGTCTGTATTTATGGCTGACACCAGCCAATCATATTACTGTGAGGGAGAACCCAGGTGTAAGCATATTCATTACATCACCTCCACCTGAGCTAAATTTTCCCGTGAAATTTAGCTTCAATATT